GCTGTGTATATACATTTATATGGTGTCAGCAAATTTTGGCCAAGACATGACGATGGCACATACAAAAACGACATGTTTGTTGTCTTACAGAAGGCTGGGGGTAAGGTTGACACATACAACATAACAGGAATGTTGTCACTGTTTGAGCACAGGTACAATGATCAATACATTGGTATGAAAATAGCATTCACTTTATGCCTAGGTGGAAATGACTTCATACCAAAGTTCCATGCCATATCCCATGAAACTGTATTGAAATATGTGATTGACAACGCCAATTTTAGAAATAATTTGTACAAAGCGGTTGAAGGGAAATGTGTCCTTAATAAAGAACTGTTCATCGAGTTGATAAAAAACCTCTACACTCCAAAACGACTTCAAAATTCAAATGTTTCCTTCGATGATATTCGAGCTATCACCATTGGTAAAAAGGAAGACGCCAGTCAAAAGGCAGGTTTTAAAACGGCTAATCCAAAGAAATGGCTCCCACCACAGTCATCAATTGAAAGACTCGCTGAACTTATGCAGTTACAAATTTCGTATATGGAAACAGTTGGAAGTCATAGCAGTGTGCTACCCAACTTTGTTGAAAGTGGAGTTTTGAAAAGGAACTCATGTGGTGAAGTTGAGTATGACTTTGGGCCTGAAGCACACTTTGTGTCTCTCTGTGACCTCCCAAATATTAAACAGAAGAAATCAAAACGTCAGCTTGATGACACACCACAACACGGTGCACGTAGAAAGAGACCACTTACATCAACCCCAAGGTCAAAATAAAAACATCTATAAAACAAATTGATTTTTTTCAATTTGTCTGTATGCTTTACTCAAATGCAGTTATTTTTGTTTCCTGGTTTTGGGATTCATTTTTTCATGACAAATTAAATTCTTCAAAAAGGTTAAAAATGTAAGAATGTGAGTCACGGAAAATCATCTCGGTTTTACAAAAATGCTATTTAATATAGCATACTTTCAGTTCTTTGAATTATCTGGCAAGCTTATTTGTGTGGTGGTTTAAGCTGCTATTAATAACAAGCTTAATATTTATTGATGATGTACATGTATTTATTATAAATTCATGATTTTCACACAGGTTGCGAAAATAGTTTTATTGTGTTGATTTGAATTTTCAAAGAAGAATCAATCAGGTACTTGCAAACTCTTCAGACATAGACATTAATATTTGTTTTACTACATTTGTTTGGAATGCGGCATGCAGTACTACTGATTTATTGATTTGTTATATCAGTTTCCTTAACTGCATCTTTGTTTACTTATTCTAAACTGTAAAATACCTACAACTTTCTGTATTAAATCATGCATGTATTTTAAAACTGTAAAACTTAATGTAACACTATGACAATTAATGGCTTTGTTATTATATTTGTAATCAGTTGTTAAATCTATATAAAACATATTTCACAGAATCAACATTATTTTCATTCCTTAGACCTTATCTAATGTTGAGGTGAAATCAATCCACACTGACCACTGGTAAATGGCCATATTGTTTCTGATAAGAGTTGTATCGATAATGCACCATGGACAGTTTATAGTTCACGCCAGGGTTATAATAAGATATCCTGCAGAGCAGTAATTTAGATAAACAGTTACCTTCTACTAGGGAATTTCTGGCAAATGTGGGCCTATATTACAGAGTGAGTGTGGCTTTCATTGAAGAAACAAACAAAATCTGGACATAATAAGGGTCCTCAATAGGATTTTTAAAATCATGAGACTCCCAAGCCAGAAAAAGTAGGAGTCCCAAACCATGTTGAATATGTTAAACTGTCTTTGCTGCATCTTTGTAATTGATCAATATACACTGTACCGTAAAGAAGTGCTTGAAAAAAATTTAAAAAGATAATTTCCAAAACCCTGTATCATCAGGCCATTCTGGTGTTTTCTTCCCGATTGATTCCACCCCATCCCCGCCCCACTCTCTTAAGAAAATATCCATTGTACAACACATACTGGAAAATTTCTCATTCTAAACTAATGTAAACAGTACCATAAGTAATTTTAATCAATAAAATATATCTAATGTGTTATTGAACAAATTTTAACAAAACAAAGTTTCCTTTTAGTGACTTCTTTTTTTATTATAAAAATCAGCATTGCGAAAATAAGTGACAAATGAAAAAATATCTGTTTCCTGCATGACTATTTACAATGCTAGTAGTTGTTGAATTTGATTTTAACAGCGGAGCAATTTTTGCCGGGCGGGCGGAGATGAGAATCTGGGAATTTATTTTATATTACCTTACTTTATAAGTGGTTAATTTTGCGACATGGAAATATTTGCTATTTTTTTGTGAATTGAAATTATTCGCAAATATTTGATCGGGCAAAAATTATTTAATTTTAGGCAAACTTTCTTCTATCATTTGAAAACATGTTGACATACAGCATCTTACATGAATAAGTTTAACTGCTCATAATAATGTACTGAGATTATTTTTTCACATTGCTTATTAAAAAATTGTTCAAGTTTGGTCTTAAAAAATCACTTTAAATAAAACAATATATGTGTTACTAACACAATTGGTTTTCATATACAAAAGAATGTTTCAAAATAATTGACAAAGAAATGTGTGATCAGGTATTTATCAAACTAACAATGTTTATTTCAAACAGTTATATAAATAATAAAAGTATTAAACAACTGAATTAAAGAATGATTATAATAACAGCATATAGTTAACATGTACCTGCGTAATTAATGATATCACAAAAACTGTATCAAGAAATCATATTTTTGCAAATATTTCCGCATGAAAAAAGTCCACTTTTTGACATTCGCAAAATTTTTATGACACATAAATATTCACTTGTACAGTATTTGGTCCTTGAGTGCTCGAGTTAGAATCAACCAACTTTACAGGAATAATGATCAACTTTACTGTGAAGCTATGCACCTGGGGTTTGCATGTGAATTTTTATGCCCCCGGGCATATAGTAATTGAACCGTCCGTCCATCTGTCCGTACAAGGTTAACCTAGAACGGCAAGTTGGATTTTTCTCAAGTTCTACCTGTACCAATGGCCTCTAAGTTTACACACTTACTAATCAATACAAAGTACATAATCTGGGCAAGTTACATAACTCTGGCTTTCATATTTACCAAGTTATTGCCCTTTTCAGCACTTAGAAAATGAATAATGGTTAACCTAAAACGGCAAGTTGGAAATATCTTAAGTTCTATCTATACTAATGGCTTTATAATTTCCACACTTACTTATCAATACAAAGTACATGATATTGCCAAGTTATATAACTGTGTCATCCATATTTCCCAGTTATTTCCCTTTTTTTCACTTTGAAAATAGGGCCTTGTCTGGTTAACCTATTTCGGCAAGTTGGATTTATCTTAAATTTCTCCTAATTGCTTTATTTCTTTAATGATATCTTTCATATTTAGTAGGGGGATACCTTTGATGGTCCTCTAATTTTTTGTGTCCAGAGTAAGCGGTCTCTAGGGTCAAGGTCACTGGTTTAAAAAATAAATATAAACATTTTTGCTCATACAGCCTTTATTTTTTAGATGATGTCTTAGATTAATACAAACATGCCAAGGGAGGTCTTCCTTCTTATGGTGTAGTAAGGGGTCATTTGGGTCAAGGTCAATGTTACCAATGTCAAGGTCACCAATGTTAAAAATCTATTTTTACATTTTTACAGGTGTATTGACCTTATTCGATAGACAGATGTTATTTATAATTGATAGAAACATAAACTTTGATGGAGTTAGTGGTCAGTTGGGTCAAGGTCACCAGTGCTAAAAATAGATTTTTACACATTTGCTCATACAGCCTTTATTAAGTGACAGATATATTTTATATTTGGTAGGAAGATAACTTGCATGGTATTCATCCTTTTGATTGGGGTAGGGATCAGTGGGTCAAGGTCACTTGTGCTAAAAATAGATTTTTACACTTTTGCCCATACAGCTTTTATTTATTGACAGATGTATTTCATATTTGGTAGGAAGATAACTTGCATGGTATTCTTCCTTTGGATGGAGTAAGGGGTCAGTTGGGTCAAGGTCACCAGTGCTAAAAATAGATTTTTACACTTTTGCCCATACAGCCTTTATTTATTGACAGATGTATTACATATTTGGTAGGATTTTAGATAACTTGCATGAAGATGAGTATTTTTCAATTTCACAAGTCAGAGCAATGACTTGGCAACTTATCTATTTCACAATTACAAAATGCCATGACTTTGTCAAGCTATATAACTTGTGTTTACAATTTTTTGGCAATTTTTCTGTCCATAACTGAGTGAATGGGTAAACATTTTTTGAAATATTGCTACTGACAAGAATCTGAGCCGGGGGCATGTGTGTTTAACAAACACGTTCTTGTTTCAGTTTTGTTAGAGTTATTGCCCTTTACTTAGTATAAATTTGCAATTTTCAACTTGTTCATGCATAGCTTAAAAAGTATTTGACCTGTAGGCCTGAAAGTTTACTTGAATGTTGGCCAGCACATGTACTTATGCACCTTTGGGTTTGCTTGTGTATTTATTCAGTATTTATAAAGTTCTTGCCCTTTACTTAGTAAAACATTTTTAGTTTTCAACTTGTGGTACATGTAGCCCAAAAATGTTTGACCTAGAGTCATAAGATTGACAAAACAGTGGAGTGTGGGGGCACCCATGGACACATTTCTAGTTTGCAACGTGGTAGAGGACATAAGGATCGTTCCTGTAAAGTTTGGTTACTGTGCAGTCATTGGTTTCAGAGGAGATGTTGTTTGAAAAGATTTTTCATGACGCACAACGACGCACCTTGTGCTAAGGTGAAATAAAAAAACTTCTGTTCCTACTATTTAGTGCTGTATTAATGCGTTGGTGGATCACAATAGCTCAACATGAGCACGTTGAGCTCAGGTGAACTAAAAACTTCTGTTCCTACTATTTAGTGTTGTATGCATGCATCTTGGCATTTTTTCACAAATGCAATCTTGTTGTGGAGACTTATTGCTATTTTTCAGAGCCAGAGAGTCAAACTTACAGGGATTTGACTGAGCAGGTCCACTTTGATGGTTTCCTATCACTTCACTCGGGGATTAAACAAATTTACATTCCATTTGCAGGTTTGTACATTCAATTTACCAAGGCTGGTATTTAAACTTTTATATATCCATCAATCACTCCATTTAAAGTATAATATTTATTAAATGCCATGAATTCATATTGCCAGAAACTCTGATAGATCACTACTTTGACCTTGACTTTGACATGTGCTCTTTAGTTAACAAATATGTTTTGGTGAAAATTTTATTGTATCCATTAACCTGATAATTAGAATTTGACAGGGATCTTTATTTTTTGTTGGGAGCATAACTCACTTTAGGTCAGATTGACTCCAAGCTTGGTATCAATAACCCGAAGTGCAATGCACAAGAATCATTACTCTGTACTTCTTATTAGCTCACCTGTGACAAAGTGACAAGGTGAGCTTCTGTAACACAGTGTTGTCTGTCATTTGTCTGTCCGTGTGTTAACTATTTTATTCAAATGACTTCTTCTCCAATACCAGTTGGCTAAATTTAATGAGACTTGGCAGGCATGTTCCTTGCATGAAGCTCTACCAGTTGTTAAAAGAATTAAATTCCTTGAAATTTTTTTTTTAAAACAAAATCTTAAAAAATCTTCTTGTGAAAAACCAGAAGGTGTAGAGCCTTGATATTTGGTATGTAACATGATATAGTAGTCTTCTATAAAGATTGTTCAAATTATGACCCTAGGGTCAAAAGGGGCCCCACCAGGGGGCTCATCAGTTTAATATATAGAGGATATTGAATGAGTGTAAGTTCAATACTGAATTTATTGCACGAGTTGAATAAAATTATATTATGCGAGCCTTCGGCTCGCATAATATTATTTTATTTAACGAGTGCAATAAAGTCAGTAATGAACTTACATGAATTTAATATTCTATTTATCACAAACCCAAAATAAAGACCGCTTAAAGTGAAAGAAGAGTCATTTTTTACTGACGAGCCTATAGTATAACGCTAACATTTATCATGCCATTACTATGACAACTGCCTGATAAAGCCTGTCTGAGAACAGCAACCTTTCTCAGTCAGTGACTTGAGAACACTATGTTCCTACGCCAGATCAGCACTGATGATGTTTATTGTTGGTATTGTTTAATTGACTTTGCTGAATATTTATGATAATACACAGTAAATAAATTGTTAAAGCAAATTGTACCAAAAATTGTGTTGTGTTATAAAAGTATTGGTAAAACCCCTCGGACTACTTTTTTGGCGTATAACCCTCTTGTGGTTACTGTACTTTCAGAAATTAGCGCCCCGAATTAAAAAATAAGATGCAAAATCATAATAAAGGCATGATAAAAAGAATAACAGGTTACTGTCTTTTGAGAAAGGGATTTCTCAGACTCGGCTAGATATGGTCCGGAAGGGGCTCGGCAAGCCTCGCCCCTTCCAGGACCATATCTAACCTCGTCTGAGAAACCCTTTCTCAAAAGACAGTAACCTGTTATTCTCTATTTAGCGCGTCTTTACACTATGTTTGTATAACGCTTATGACGTCACGTCAAAATATATGCACGGCCGTGCAATACCATATTTACGGAGTCGCAAAATCGGCACGGGTGTGTGATAAAAAATTATATAGTTAAATCTTTAAAAAATCTCCTTGTGAAAATTCACAAGGTCTATTGCCTTGATATTTAGTATGTAACATGATCTTGAAGTTCTCTACAAACATTTTTCAAATTAAGCCCCTAGGGTCAAAGCCTGCCATGGGGGTAACTTGATGTTTAGCTCGACTATTGGATAAGTAGAGCTATTGTAGTCACCAAGCGTCGGCATAACCACTTATGTTAAAGTTTTTGTAAAACCTCAAAAATTTTCAAAGTCCATTGTCATATGGCTTTGAAACTTTGCACACTTGTTCACCATCATGGCCCCAATCTGTAGACAGGAGGTGGTAACTATATCAAGCATTTTGACAGAATTATGCCCCTTTTTCGACTTAGAATTTATGTTAAAGTTTTTGTAATACCTCAAGTATTTTCAAAGTCCATATGGCATATGGCTTTGAAACTTTGCACACTTGTTCACCATGATGACCCCAATTTGTACACATGAGGAAGTAACTGTGTCAAGCATTTTTACAAAATTATGCCCCTTTTTTGACTAATATTTAAGTTAAAGTTTTTGTAATACCTCAAATATTTTCAAAGTCCATTGACATATGGCTTTGAAACTTTGCATACTTGTTCACCATCATGATCCCAGCCTGTAGACAGGAGGAGGTAACTGTTTCAAGCATTTTGACAGAATAATGCCCCTTTTTATATTCCCGAAAGGGCATATTATGTTTTACCCCCTGGCGTCCGTCCGTCCGTTCGTCCGTCCATTAGCAATTTGTCCGTTAGCAATTTGGTTTCCAGAGCATAACTTAAGTTCCATTTGGCCCCCAATGTTCAAACTTCAAAGGATGATTGTCCATATTGGGTAGAAGACCCTTTTGATTTTGGGGTCAAAAGGTCAAAGGTCAAGGTCACTATTACCTTGATACTGAAAACAGTTTCCGTTCGTTAGCAATTTGTCCCTTAGCAATTTGGTTTCCGGAGCATAACTTAAGTTCCATTTGGCCCACAATGTTCAAACTTCATAGGATGATTGTCCATATTGGGTAGAAGACCCCTATTGAATTTGGGGTCAAAAGGTCAAAGGTCAAGGTCACTATTACCTTAAAACTGAAAACAGTTTCCGGAGCATAACTTAAGTTCCATTTGACCCACAATTATCAAACTTAATAGGATGATTGTCCATATTGGGTAGAAGACCCCTATTGATTTTGGGGTCAAAAGGTCAAAGGTCAAGGTCACTATTACCTTGATACTGAAAACAGTTTCCGTCCGTTAGCAATTTGTATGTTAGCAATTTGGTTTCTGGAGCATAACTTAAGTTCCATTTGGCCCACAATGTTCAAACTTCATAGGATGATTGTCCATATTGGGTAGAAGACCCCTATTGATTTTGGGGCAAAAGGTCAAAGGTCAAGGTCACTATTACCTTGATACTGAAAACAGTTTCCGGAGCATAACTTAAGTTCCATTTGACCCTGAATGTTCAAACTTCATAGGATGATTGTCCATATTGGGTATAAGACCCCTATTGATTTTGGGGACACAAGGTCAAAGGTCAAGGTCACTATTACCTTGATACTGAAAACAGTTTCCGGAGCATAACTTAAGTTCCATTTGGCCCACAATATTCAAACTTCATAGGATTATTGTCCATATTGGGTAGAAGACCCCTATTGATTTTGGGGTCAAAAGGTCAAAGGTCACTATTACCTTAAAATTGAAAACAGTTTCCGGAGCATAACTAAAGTTCCATTTGGCCCACAATCTTCAAACTCCTTAGGATGATTGTCCATATAAGGTAGATGACCCCTATTGATTTTAGGGTCACAAGGTCAAAGGTTAAGGTCATTATTAATAAATTAAGTATTAATCAACCTACATCTGTAAAATTTTATATGATGAACAGCTAATTCCTATGTCTAATAAATGCTTCATCCTTACTAAAAAAAAACACTTGGCATATAATGCTCCGCCTAGCGGTGCTCTTGTTTTACTTAGAATTTGCATTAAAGGTTTTTGTAATACGTCAAATATTTTCAAAGTCCATTGACATTGAAACTCAGAAACTTTATGGGAATCATTGATATCAAGAGGAGAGGTGCATATCATCGGCTTGTTCTGGTCAGACACTTACTCAGAATTGTGGCCCTTGATAAGTTATACAGTATTCAAATAAAGCAATAATTGTTTTCCACGCTTCTTCTTTTCAACTACTGAATTCAACGAAACTTTATGGGAACATTCACAATACCAACAGGAGATGGGCATATCGTCCCCTTGTTCCGGTCAGACACTTTAGCTCTTAGTTATGGTCCCTGATTAGTTCAGCTGTATGCATATAGAGCAATAATCGTTTCTGCGCTACTTCTTTGCATATACTGGCTGGAATTCAACAAACTTAATGGGAACGTTCAATACCAAGAGAATATGCTCATATCGTTGCCTTGTTCTGGTCAGACACTTTAATCAGAACTTTAACTCAGAGTTATGGCCCTTGATTAGTTATGCAGTATGCATATAGAGATATATAATCGTTTCTGTGCTACTTCTCTGCAACTAATGGCTGGAATTCAATGAAACTTTATGGGGACCTTCAATACCAAGAGGAGATGCGCATATCGTTGCCTTGTTCTGGTCAGACACTTTAACTCAGACTTATGGTCTTTGATTTGTTATGTAGTATGCTGATATAGAGCATTAATGGTTTCTGCAAGTACTGGGTGGAGTTCAACAAACCTTTATGTTAGCAATCAATACTAAGAGGAGATGCGCATAATTATTGTCCCCTTGTTTCGGTCAGACCCTTTAACCTACATTAACAGTAATGGCCCTTGATTTGTTACGCAGTATGCATATAGAGCAATAATAGTTTCGGTGCCATTTCTTTGAAAGTACTGGCTGGAATTTAATGAAAATTTATTAAATGTGAAGCATCATTCAGGGCTCATCCTGGGGGGAAATTTTAGGGAGAAGTGACTTCCTCACGAAAATTAGGGAGAAGGGAAATAACCCAATGTGTATGCATCCTTTAACTTACAATATAAACACAATTAACAGCACTTAAAATATTTCTACAGTTTATTAATTAATAGTAGATCTTGCAATGGCGTCTAAATGTTTTTGAGCTGCAAATATCTATTTATCAGCTATTTATAAGCTTTCTCTAAATATTTGTTTATATCATGTAGATTTGTTGATAATAATGTGTAAGAAAAAATATGATAAATAAATTAATTTTATATTATTTACTTTTATCTCTTTTAAAAGAAGATGCAGTTACATTAGATTTTGGATAATAAAATCTGTTATATTCTGTTCTGATAACAGAAATTTCTTTAAAGATAATGTCACATTTAAGTGAAATTTTATATATGCATATAATTATGCTTATAAAACAATTTTCAAACATCAAAAAATATGTAAAATATATACTGCAAACATTTGTGCACATTATATTTAAACACTAAAATTATATACATTCTTTTCTTATTGAAAAATTTGACTGAGAAATTATAGAAAATAAATGTCTAATTACCTCCCTTTATTTTCATGAAATGTTAAATTCGGTAATATCTTTATAAATAATGCTTTTGGAAATTTACAATATTGATAAATCTTAATATGAGTGTCATATTTATGACATTAAAACAAATATATATATTGAAACAATAAGAACACTAATCTTTCCTGACAAATTTTGTTGTTATAGACATGATATGCTACTTACATGTAGCATGATGATCATGATTCGTAGTTTTAGCCGGGATGTCGTGCATTTTGACATTTCTGCACAGAGAACAATACTAAACACCCTCACTGTCTACAACATACCAATCGTAAGATTTTTGCGAATAAGCTTCCTTAAATTTTCGCGTCAGTGTATCATGATCTTTATCTAACTTTATTTTACTGCTAGGTTTGGGCATTTCGCCCTGTAGCTTAAACGTGAGCGACATAACAATTTTACTGTAAAAAATACAGGTATAAGCGTAGTATAAAGCGACGTTCTGATTGGATAATGATAATTAGCAGTCGTCATATGGGCGGATACAGTCTCTGCTCTTTACATCGCCAAGTAATTACTCTTTGGGAATTAAGATTTTATCGGCGAAGTTGACTTCTCTTTGATCAATCGGGAGAGTGAAATTGGAATACACACGGCAAAGTTTTCTCCTGAATCGCCCTTCCGGATGAGCCCTGCCATTACTAAGAGGAGAGGGGCATATCATTGCCTGTTCTGCTCAGACCCTTCAAGACGAATTATGGCCCTTGATTAGTTATGTAGTATGCATGTTGAGCAATAATCATTTTGCACTTTTTCTCTGCAACTACTGACTGGAATTCAACAAAACTTTATGGGAGCCATTAATACCAAGAGATGTGCATGTTGCTTTGTGCCGCTCAGACTCTTCAACACAGAGTTTTCTCCTTTGATTAGTTTATGCAGTATGCATATAGAGCAATAACCGTTTCCGCACTACTTCTCTCCAACTACTGGCTGGAATTCAATGAAACTTTATTGTAACAATAAATATCGAGGGGAGATGCGCATGTCATAAAAATTTAGTCACACGGCTCAAATATGGAAACACTCTAGTGGTCACATTTTTGACATTCTTGCCACCAAACTTTTTCAGAATGCTTGTCTAAGTAATTGCTCAGGTGAGTTGAATATGGGCTATCCCGGATGAAAACTAAGGTCACAGGAGCTAAAAATAGAAAAACCCTTTTAACACTCTAGTGACTACTGTTTTGATCCAAATATGCTGGTAATTGGTCTGAAAGTTTGTTTTTATGATTTTAGGTCAAGTTCAAATATGGGTCACCTGGGGTCAAAACTAGGTCACACCGCTCAAATATGGAAAAACCTTGTTAACACTAGTGGTCACATTTTTGACTCAATTGTAATCAAACTTGGTTAGGATGCTTGTCTAGTTAATTGCTTGGATGAGTTTGATGGGTCTGGTGAGCCATCTAGGGCAATCTTGACCCTCTTGTTTAATAATTGGGCTAACTGAGAATTTGTGAAAATATACTATTGAGACAATATTTTTATATTAACTATGCCTTTGATGCAAGTCAAGGTCATGGTTCCTCTCCTTGGCCTTGCTTTGGGGGCATTTGTGTGCTGCCAACAACAGCTCTTGTTTTTATGCACATGTTTTGCTAATGTCAGTCGGTTTGTCTATCTGTCCATCAGTAGACCACATGTTGGTTGGTAGGTGACTATTGAATTTAGGGTCACTAAGTCAAAGGTAAAGATCACAGGGGCCTTAAATGTCAGAATGGTTTCTGCTTATTATCTTGAAAACCATGCCTGAAATAATGCACGGAAGGGCACCTGAGATCTTCCTCCACCAGTAAAGCTAGAACGTCGCGATATGACCTATACTGTGTTGATGTGACGTAGAACCCAAAACAAACAAACCATTAATCACAAAGTCTTCATATTTTACATATTGATTAGTAGTCATATGTAGTAGATGACCCCTATCGATTTTGGTGTCACTAGTTCAAAGGTCAAGGTCACAGGTGCCTTAAATGTCAGAATGGTTTCAGCTCATTATCTTGAAAACCATTTATCACAAACTCTTTAATTTCACATACTGATTGGTCATAACTAGAATATGACCCGTATTAATTTTGGGGTCAAAGGTCAAGATCACAGGGACCTTGAATGTCAGAATGGTTTCCACTTATTGTCTTGAAAACCAATTATCATAAAGTCTTCATATTTCACAAATGGATTAGTCATAACTTGTAGATGATTCCTATTGATTTTGGGGTCACTAGTTTAAAGGTCAAGGTCACAGAAGCCTTAAATGTCAAAATTGTTTCCACTCATTATCTTCAAAAACTAGCACAAAGTCTTCATATTTCACATATTGATTAGTCATGTTGGTAGACCCCATGTTTTCCACTGATTATCTTAAAAACTATTTATCACAAAGTCTTCATATTCACATTCTGATTGGTCATAACTAGTAGATGAACCCTATTCAAAGGTCAAGGTCACAGGGGCTATAATGTGAAAATGGTTTCTACTCTTTATACTAATGATAGCTTTCATTTAGTTTCAGGTCATATATTGGTCATTATTTCTCTTTTTCCAATACTGAATACTACTTATAATGTACCCATTATGACATGTTTCTATAACAAAATTTCCATAGTACGAGTCAAGGGCTAGTAAGCAGGGCATAGGCGTCGTTTGACATTGCTTGCTTATATTAATACTAATGTTCATTCACAACATTTTCTGTCCAGATTCTCTGTCTCAAAGAACAGGACGTGCTCCGGAGAACATAAAGGAAATGCTTAAACTGGCTAAAGAACTGTCCAAGTCTACTATATATAAATACCAATATGGTCAAGCTGCTAAACTCAATGACTACTCTGCTGATGGTTCAATATTTGACTATATGGCTGGAAGGAGAAAGGTAAATAATATTTATTTAAGAAAAAAAAATTTCTTTAAAGACTTATTACAGTGTAGCAATAACATGTGACCTTGACATCATTATAGGCATCATTTCCAAGACAAATACTGCTTGATTCGAAAAAGAAAATAGCAGTATTTTATTTCTATACCAATTTCTTTGGGATATGCACCAGTCTACAGGGAAAAATATAAGTTTGCCACAGAATATTTGATCTCCTTCAGTATATGAGACATTATTTTTCATAAAGCCTTTGGCTTAGCATTTCATCTTGGTCTTATGATTTAAATTACCCGCAAGTAATCACGCATGTGCAATAAGAGCACGTGATCAATACCGGAAACAGCGTGAGAAAGCACTCTTTAGCTTGACTTCTTAACAAAAAGTAGAGGAATGGTTATAGTCCTGGCGATGTTGCCTTTGCCGTTGCCAGTGCCGTCCGCAAACTTGTACCTGGATCATAACTTTTTTAGTTCTTGGTGTATTGTCTTCATACTTGGCCACAACAACCCTTGGGACAAGACCTTTCAGTAGACCACACTTACCTTGACCTTCATCCATAAATGACCTTGACCTTCAAGGTCAAAAGTCCAAATTTTGCTTGTTCTTGCTATTATTGGCTGTAACTTTGTTATTTTTTAATGGATTGTCTTTAAATTTGAACATAAAAATCTTCAAGGATTGCCCTTCATAATAACCAGACAGACCTTGACCTTCACTCATAAATGACCTTGACTTTGAAGGTCAAATTATTGAAATTTTCATTTTTTTGGCTATTATTGGCTGTAACTTTGTTATTTTTGAATGGATTGTCTTCAAACTTGAACATAATAATGTTCAAGGATAACCCTTAAAAATAACCAGACAGACCTTGACCTTCACTCATAAATGACATTGACTTTGAAGGTCAAATTATTGAAATTTTCATTTTTTTGGCTATTATTGGCTGTAACTTTGTCATTTTTGAATGGCTTGTCTTCAAACTTATATATAACCGTACAAAAGTACATAACACATACCATCACTTATGGGGCCCATATATAAGACCGACTTGAGTGGCATTATTTCATGTAGTCAGTTTTTATATATGTCACTATGTAGGCATATAATGAACATTTCCAAACAATAGAACTAAGGGGTACTAAGTTATATATATCAACTATATATTTAATTTTACAATAGGTGAAAACATTTTGACAAGAAACATAAAACCCCATAAAAATATATTCATTTGTGGTGCATATATGTCATGAAAATGTTGCTCAGCATGTGTAGTTGTGCACCTGGGTATTTTCGTGTGGATATATTAAGTATTTTTAGAGTTATTGCCCTTGACTTAGTAAAAAATTTCAAAAAATATTTGACCTAGAGTCATGAAACCTTAACAAGAATGTTGCTTCAGCATGTGTAGTTGTGCACCTAGGTATTTTCGTCTGGATATATTTATTATTTTTAGAGTAATTGGCCTTGAATTAGTAAAAATTTCCAATTTTCAACTTGTGTCACACGTAACTAAAAATTATTTGACCTAGAGTCTTGAAACCTTACAAGAATGTTGCTCAGCATGTGAAGTTGTGCACCTGGGTATTTTCGTGTGGATATGTTTAGTAATTTTATGAGTTATTGCCCTTGACTTAGGTAAAAAATTTACAATTTTCAACTTGTGTCGCAGGTAACTCAAAAATATTTGACCTAGAGTCATGAAACCTTACAGGAATGTTGATCAGCATGTGTAGTTGTGCACCTGGGTATTTTCTTGTGGATTTTTTATGCTTCCCGAAAAATTTCGGGGGAGCATTTAGTCGTCGGGTTGTCCGTCCGTCCGTCCGTCCGTCAGTCCGTACGTACGTCCCGAATTCGTGTCCGGCCCATAACTTTGTTATTTGAAGTCGGATTTTAAAATTATTTCACAGAAATGATCACCATATTGAGACGACGTGTCGCGCGCAACATTTGGGTCGCTACCTCGAAGGTCAAGGTCACAGCATGACCTTGCAGCAAAATCGTGTCCGGTCCATAACTTCATTATATGAAGTTGGATTTTAAAAATATTTCACAGAAATGATCACCATATTGAGACGACGTGTCGCGCGCGCAACATTTGTGTCGCTACCTTGAAGGTCAAGGTCACAGCATGACCTTGCAGCAAAATCGTGTCCCGGTCCATAACTTCATTATTTGAAGTTGGATTTTAAAAAATATTTCACAGAAATGATCACCATATTGAGACGACGTGTCGCGCGCAACATTTGGGTCGCTACCTTGAAGGTCAAGGTCACGGTATGACCTTGCAGCAAAATCGTGTCCGGTCCATAACTTCATTATTTGAAGTTGGATTTTAAAAATATTTCACAGAAATGATCACCATATTGAGACGACGTGTCGCGCGCAACATTTGGGTCGCTACCTTGAAGGTCAAGGTCACGGTATGACATTGCAGCAAAATCGTGTCCGGTCCATAAACTTCATTATTTGAAGTCGGATTTTTAAAAATATTTCACAGAAATGATCACCATATTGAGACGACATGTCGCGCGCAACATTTGGGCGCTACCTTGAAGGTCAAGGTCACAGCATGACCTTGCAGCAAAAATCGTGTCCGGTCTATAACTTTGTTATTTGAAGTTGGATTTTAAAAATATTTCACACAGAAATGATCACCATATTGAGACGACATGTCGTGCGCAACATTTGGGTCGCTACCTTGAAGGTCAAGGTCACAGCATGACCTTGCAGCAAAATCCTGTCCGGTCCATAACTTTGTTATTTGAAGTCGGATTTAAAAAATATTCCACAGAAATGATCACCATATTGAGACGATGTGTCCCGTGCAACATGTGGGTCGCTTCCTTGAAGGTCAAGGTCACAGCATGACCTTGCAGCAAAATCGTGTCCGGCCCATAACTTCCCTATTTGAAGTTAGATTTAAAAAGTATTTCACAGAAATGATCATCATATTAAGATGACGTGTCATGCACAACATTTAAGTCGCTACCTTGAAGGTCAAGGTCACAGCATGACCTTGCAGCAAAATCGTGTCCGGCCCATAACTTCCTTATTTGAAGTCAGATTTTTAAACTATTTCACCGAAATGATGACCATATTAAAATGGCGTGTCATGCGCAACATTTGGCTCGCTACCTTGAAGGTCAAGGTCACAGCATGACAATGAAGGAAAATTGTGTCCGGCACATAACTTCATTATTTGAAGTCGAATTTTACAACTATTTCACAGAAATGATCACCACAATGAGACATTGTGTCGCGCGCAACATTTGGGTCGCTACCTTGAAGGTCAAGGTCACGGTATGACCTTGCAGCAAAATCGTGTCCGGCCCATAACTTTGTTACTGGAAGTCAGATTTAACAACTATTTCACAGAGATGATCACCATATTGAATTGACGTGTCGCATGCAACATTTAGGTCACTACGTTTAAGGTCAAGGTCACAGCATGACCTTGCAGCAAAATAATGTCAGGCGCATAACTTTGTTATTTGAAATCGGATTTTACAACTATTTCACAAAAATGATCACCATATTTAGACAATGTGTCGTGCACAATTTTTGGGTTGTTTTTACACTTTGAACTTTGTCTGTGACATAACTCTGACACAACAAGAGGTATACCTTCCTGTGTCCAAAACCTATTCGGGGAGCATCACCCGGTTCAACCGGCTCTTGTTTAGTATTATTAGAGTTATTGCCCTTGTCTTAGTAAAAATTTACAATATTTAACTTGTGTTGCACGTAACTCAAAAAGTTTATGACCTGTACGCCTGAAAGTTTACAAGAATGTTGGTCAGCATGTTGTACTTAATGCACCTTGGGGTTTTCTTTTGGCTTTATTTAGTATTTGTTGTATTTGCCCTTTACTTAATAAAAGATTTTTAGTTTTCAACTTGCGCACATGTACCAAAAAAAAATATTTGACCTAGAGACATAGGATTGACAAAATTGATGGAGTGTGAGGGCACCTGTGTCCTGTTGACACATTCCTAGTTATGCCCCCACAGAAGTGGTAGAGCATATAGCGTTGCACTTGGTCCGTTCGTCCATCCGTCCGACGTCCATCTTTCCGTACGTTCCGAAATCTTGTGAACGCAAACTCCTCTTAAACCGGATGGAAGATTTTGCTTAAACTTCCAGGGATGAACAACCTTAATGTGTAGATGGTAGTAAAGAAAGGAATTTTTGCTGCGACCAAATTTAACAGAATTATGGCCCTTTGTGATTTTTTCACTATATACCATATAGAAATTTTGTGAACGCAACTCCTCTTAAAACTGGTTGGCAGATTTTGCTTAAACTTCCAGGGATGAACAACCTTAATGTGTAGATGGTAGTAAAGTAAGGAATTTTTGTTGCGACCAATTTAACAGATTTTGGCCCTTTGTTGATTTTTCACTATATACCATCGATATAAATAATTGACATATAAATTTTACATTTGTAATTTCATTTAACATGTACATAAGGTTACCTGTAGATCATTTTAGGTATATGTACAGAAATGAAACAGTGGAATGAATGAAAAGTTCCACATAAAAATCTTACATACAGATATGCATGCTCTTGTTTATGAGCACATCTGCACAGTGGGGGCATCCCGTGTCCTTTGGACACAATTCTAGTTTCTTTTTGTAATTGCACATGCGGTTATATATGGAAAAGGATTCATTACTTTGACAAAACTAATTTGACAAGACAGACCGATTAAATTTATAAAAAAGGAACGTTAAGATTTGTTTAAACATTTACCTTGTTTGCCTTTTGAACAAAGTAAAAAGTCGAGCGTTGCCCCGCCCGGCTTGTGTCTCTTGTTTTAATATTTTTACACATTTTTGTTCACAGGTAGAGGCCTTTTTTATTTATACATTAATGTGGTACTGCTTGTGTACAGAAGGTACTTTTGCTATCATAATTATCACATCTTTTATTAAAGACACCTTTACACATTGCCAATTTGACCGAAAGTGGTACTTTGTTCAAAAGTTGTTTTGCTTAGTTTGTTCAATGTTTTAATTTGCTTTTATGATAATTCAGATTCTTATTGGGAAAACTTAAGCTTATAATGGCATCTTCCAATTTTGTATATTTCATAAATAACTAATAAAAAAGTACCAGTTGTTCATCAATATAACTGCATTTTTTGAATAAATATTTCAATTTTCACTTGCAGTACTACTACAACAAATAAATATTTTTATAAATATAAAAATGCATTTTCACCTAATTACCAGCCAGGCATAGCGCACAGGGTAGAGTGCTGGTTTGTCAAAAAGGTAGACATGTATTCAATCCCTGTCACTTTCCATTAGTCCAATGCCATTTATTTTGAATAAACTATGGAGCATGCTGTATCGGACAGCTGTGATTTGCTTATTTCCAAATTTATGCAACCTTTTTTATACTCAATGAAACTCATGTTAACTTTTTTTGCTTGTAAGCTGGTATCTCCCTTAACTACTGAAGGGAATGGAATGAAAACTTAACATACATTTTTCACTGTGATTTTGTTTTAAAGCCAATGGGGAATTGGCAAACAGGTCCCATAATCTGAATTTACTTATTTACATATTTTATGATCCTTTTTTATACTCAAATAAAACATCCTTGTGGCAACTCTTAGGTAAAACCAAATAGTCAAGCATTGCTTTGTCCTCCAACAGCTCTTGTTATCATAAAAATTGCCTCAGCTATTTCCGTAAAGCTTCGGATTATTGTGATCGGAATTAAATGCCGCTTAATGAAACATTTTCTAATTTTTAAGACTTTCTGTTAAAAATTAAAGTAAGGATGGTTGACTCTTAAGTTACAGGGGGCGAATTTAGGGGCAGTCGACGATCGAATAATTCAATGTTCTTATAAATAAGTTAAAATAGTCCTCATAAGTTAAGCACTCCGATAATTGAATCCACGTAAATCAAGGCGCTATTTTTAG